CAGTACTTTTGGAGTGAGCTTGTACTTTATTCGGTGTTGTTTGTCTTTCTGGCAGACTTTAATGTTTAATGAAAGCGTCTGCTTTGGCCTTACCATTTCGCAAGTGAGAGCATAATAATTGGACGCCCCTAAGGTGCCTTTGGATATAAATATATGAAGGCCTATGAGTTCGCGTGATTGATCGTTAGATTTCGAACATGTATCGTCGGAAGAATCCGTACACGTGGTGTTGATGTCTCACGATGTCTGTCTACAGTTGCATGAATTTTAATTAGACATTGACTGTTGGAGAGCGATTGACAGGAAGTCCATGCTACCACCTGGGAATGACGAATGATGATTGATGTCCTAATTCTAGCATAAAAGAGGCTCTAGATTATAGAGCAATAAAATCTAACTACAAATTTTCTCTCAGGAGCGTGAAAAGAAGTTCGTTCTGCCATTAGAAGGTCTCAAACAAAGATCTGAAGACACGCAATTCCTACGCCGTCCAAATTTCAGCTTGTTCCATTCAGATCCCAAAGTGAACATCTACAAGGAATTTAAAACTTTAGATTTGGCTGCAGACAACGTCAATGCCCGAGATAACTGGAAGGGAGCTCTACTTCGAGTCGGTGTCTTCCCGGAAAAGTCGAAACAAGCTCAGGAAGATGAAAAGGTTAGCTATTTCAACTGTGTCTCCTTATATTGGAATTGTTTTTAAGTTAGACCGATTGTCTAAATTTGCAATACGCCCTTACTTCAGAGTAAGAATTAGCCTTCACTCAGTTTAACGTAATTCTTGGGCTTGCTGTGATTCAGTAGAGATGTAGGTTCCATTAACCATATTCTCTCAGTTTTGAGGAATTAAGGTGGGTTACCTAGGCTCTTGTCTCCCTATCATGCTCCTAATCTGTGCATCTGCCTTCATATTCCAGGCTGAAGATGATCTGAACCAGGAGAATAACCCAATTCTTAAACGACAAGTTGAGACTATCCGCAACTTGGTGCAGTCCTACATGAAGATTGTGACCAAAACCCAACTTGATTTGGTACCAAAGATCACCATGCATCTTTTAATAGACGATGTAAGTTACCCCATCTCTATCTGCAGGCGTGTTTTAATAGTCCGGTGTTTTGATCGTTCACCTTCATTGTAATTGAAAGCGCACCGAGTGAGCGTGCCTGTTGTGAAGCGTGAAAGCTCGCAGTTATTGAGTACTCCTGTAATACTCTTTCCACAAACAGGTTCTATAACTTTGTTTTTGTGTTTTTAGGTGAAGAAGTATCTGAAATCGGATTTGCTGCCTGCTCTTTACGCACTTGATGCAGTATGTTTAATTGTGTAATCCAATAGAAGTGGTTTATTTAAAATTAGGTTTAGTGGGTGGGATGGGGTGGGGTGTGAATTAAGGATGTTAGGTCCTATGGACCGGAGCTCTCTTCTGAGGTCGAGTTGGGATTGGTGTCTTAATGACTTGGGGTAATTGGGGACATACGATTTGTTCTAGTTTTTTTCTGGGAGAATCAAATTTCGTGTTACGTTAGGATTTTGGCATGCGTAGTTATTGGTATCGTGCAACTCGTGAGGTATAGTATGGTGTATTAAAGCAGTAGTCGATGAACCATCAGAATTAGAAACTGTTTCCCAATAGAATGTAGGCCAAAATTTTTATCGAAGTATATTTTTGAATATTGATTGGATTGACTTTGCTTGTTCTTCTTTGCAGAATCGTCTGATGGAGGAGTCGCCTGAAGAAAAGCGAAGAAAGCAGGACTTGGTGACAATGTATAACACCATGAAGGAGGCCCTCAATATCATAGCTGATGTTACGACTCACACTATCACAACTCCTGTTCCTCCACCTATTACTGATGATTGGCTTGTATCAGTCTGTTGAATCCTCCTGTTCACTTTATAACTATGCTAATCAAATACTTACATGTAGTATTTTCTAAACAGGAAGTGGAGGGCAATAGTGGCGCACAGAGGGTAGTGACGGCACCCTTTCGTCCATCAATTGGCCCAAATAGAGGTAACCCCTCATATGTTTCCGTCAACAACAATTCCTCGAACTCCCAACCACGCGTTGCACCCCCTATTCCTCCAGCTTCACGACCTTCAAACGTTGGGCTCTCTTCTCTGGGTTCAGCGTGAGTTCCCTTTTATAGCTTGAGGGTTTAGCACAAGGTTGTCTTTTCTAACTATAGTCTAGGGTGTTCACTACCGATGGGTCTCACATAACATTTTACTGTTGTTTTAATGAAGTTTCAATTTAAACAAATAACCTAACTTGCCTAAATGCAAGCAGCTTCTCTAACTTCTCCTCTAAGCGAACTAGTAAGAGATTTTGTTGATATTTGCCTTGGTTGAAAGTGGTACTCAATTTGCACACATTTGATCTAACTGTCGCCGTAGTAATTGTGAACTCCGTCGTAAACTTGGATTAGGGGATTTGGCCATTTGAGCGAGAAAGTCGGAGTAATCTGCATTATTTCATAAGATGTTACTCGAACATTGGTATCTTTTCTTCTAACCTCAGATCATCCGGGGACTCACACGAAAGGTATAAGAAGCAGTACCTTTGAATATGCACCCACTCACAAGCACACACATTTACACATACAATTTGTTTTGCTGTGGGATAGCAGAGTCAATAGTGGTAGAGATAGTTTGATTAACCACAGACAATGACACCGATATCTAATTCTCGCCCACCTTGTGTTATTAACCCAATTCGTTTACGGCACTTCCATCAAATACAAACCCGTGCGCACTACAAACAGTCGAACGGCTCCCCTAATCCCACAACCCGCCCCCGCGTTACATGCAAGTAATTCAACTGGTGATCTCTTTGATTCTGGTGGTGGTTTCCCTAACTACTCTTCATCCTCCATCAATAATCATCGCGCTGCCTCAACCATTGCGCCCCCCTTCATGTCTCCCTCCTCTAATTCCCTCACTTCCAACTCTTCTTCCACTTGGAATAGCAACAACGTGGGGCTGAAGGTGTTCGATCCGATGGCGAAATCTTTGGGTAACACCACACCAATAGCTACCAACAATGGTCCTGTAGCTGGTGGGGCTCGAGCCCTGGCGTCTCATTTCGAGTAAGCTCTCACAACAAGAGATGATTTTGCCTCTGCTAGTGTATTGAGGGTGACTAAATTTGTGTCGGTCACAATCGTCTCTTTCCTATGTCTTAAGCTTCAGTTTTTTTCTTTTCTAAATTCTCTTATCAACTGAATTTATTGTGTTCTATCAATATTGCCTAATTTTCATACTTAGTATGGTATTCTTGAATTGTGAGTTCTTCAGTGTTTTAATCGGGTGCCAATTTATAATAGTTAACGAAAATTGGTTAAAACCAGGAGTTTCTTTCTTGAAGATGTTCTTGATTTGTCGTAAATTGTCTAATTTCTTTAGTTTCCAACAATTTTATCGTAAGATATAAGCTGTATTAACCGAATTGTAGCTATTGGCACGTCTTTTAAGCATGTACACTGAAGGGAAGTTCATTTCATGGCAGCGGTTAACTGAGAGAGCATTTTTATCTCCTAGTTGCTGTGCTCTTTTTGTGTGCACAGGTGTTGTGTGAGTTTTGAGAACCCTCTAATATGTTTCACATGCTTATACTTGTTTGATTGCCTACTTTTTCTAGCCTGACTCAAAATGGGTAAGTTCAATGGTACTTGAAGCTGGTGGTCGTATTTTCTGTTTTCCTTTCACTGTCTTTTTTGCCTTCTTAGCACGTATACTTGTGTAGTTTGTCAATTTATGGCATGTCAGTAGATATTTAGAAATTGGTTTGTACTATGCCTGATTTTATCGTTCCTATTTTCTTCATATCACTAGAAGTCTAACATCTCCTCAAAGTGGACCACCCATCCCACCAAGACCGTAAGTTCTTTCTATCTGGTAATACTACAGTATTCTTATTTTTCTATTTTCACGGTGATTAATTAAAGACACAATTTAATTTAATCTACTTGAAGTAACCACTTTTCTTTTTACTGCTTTAGTTTCCAATGAGCCGATGAATTCTGAGTTTTTACAAGTAGACATGAGCTTATCTACCAGTAGATATTCCAGACATTGGACGAGGTTTTGAATTGCGGCTATAATATGACTATGATTATCTCCGTTGTCATTAGATACCTTAAAAGATCTCATGTTTACCCTTGACTCAATTGCGAATGAGCCTATGGCGGGAAAGGGAGACTAGGTGATAATAAATAATCTTTATATTGAGTGTTAAAGTTTTGTGGGAATATTTGAGGCGCAGTAGGGTCATTTTGACAATGCACGCATCTCACATGTTGTTTTTCGCCTATTTATTACACGCATATCATCGATACGATGCACGTGTTCTCAGAAGTCTATGAACTATAATTTTACTGGATGTTTTTTAACTGTCTTGCTTTGTTTTTGCTAGAAACTAAACTGGTGGGCGTATATCCGTCAGTCTTGTGAAATTCTGCTTCATCATCATCAAAATCACCACTTGGTGCTTTCAGCGATCTGCCTTCAACTTTTTCAATTTAATCGATGTCTACGCCGACTATTGTTACTTTTCTAACTTGCTTTGTTATTAATATTCAATCTTTGGTGAAATTTATTAATTTTCCATTTGTTTCAATATCTGTGTCTTTCCTTGCCTAACTTCGTACCAGTGCTAATTCATATGCATGCACACTCGAGCAAAAAACACGTTTATACCTTTTGTGGTCAATCGATAATGGCACCTTTAAGGGCTAGAATGAGAGAGTAAGGGAATTGGATTGTCTTAAGATCATTTGGTTACGAATTCAACAGTGTACACAGTTCAGAGGGGGCGTAGCCTAGGGTAGTTTTAATGGAACAGGAGGTAATTAAGTTTGTAGAAAAGGACCTAACGAGGGTGTTGCCAATTTGTTGATTTCATTTGTTTGATAAATCGTCATTAAGTTTTTTTTCAGTTACACTTCTTGATTAAATCAGTCGTTATTGTCATTTGATTAACAATAATACCGAAAATGAAGGGACCACCGGGTTGTGGATAATAAGGTTTTTCATTTTGGTTCGCCAATAAATTTTCATCGATATCGCTCTTTTGTTTATTGACTCTGGATTCATGTCGTAATATTATTTTGTTCAAATGGGAATTCCCACTCAGAGGTTGATGTTCCTGTGGTTCTCTACAAAAATTTCGCCAAACTAGAAGTAAGCCTTAAGAGGTCACCTGAACTATTTTATGAAAAATTTTGTCTTAAGTCTTTAGTAAAATAATAAAAGAGATTTAAATTTTCAAAGTTAATAATATGTGTTAATTATATTAACTTTTGCGTCAGAATAAAATTAAGTCTTGATTGGTAGAGGGAAATTTAATTGTTTTCAGGTTAAAAAGAAAGTATAAAAGAGCTTGTACTTCTATTGCCAAGAGAGATAGGGAATGGAATAGAGTGGGAAACAGAAGCTCAAAATATATAATAGCTTTTGAATCAAATTTGCAGAACAAATATAACAAAGCATCTAGTTGTTACCCTTTATGGAGATATCAGCCAAAGTACAAGCAATGAGAATTGTTAAGGACCATTATTGCATTCTTTAGGCTCAACTTGTACATAATCCTAGTTTCACAGTTTTCATACTTGTTTGCAAAGTTGAATTGTCCCGGTTCGTATTTGGTCCCTTTTGGCGTTTCTTTCCTCTTTATTATGGCCTCCTTCCCCCTTTCATGCATTTACAGCTCTCTCCCAACATCACTAGCTTTCCTTGAACACTATTACCAGTATTTCAGCCTATCTATAAAGGTTGGTCGAGCGAACACAACAGAGTGAAATTTGAATAGGGACAACTTGCTCCGTTCATTCCCTATTTTTGCTCGCGCACCCTTTGTCCGTTGACTCCAACAGATTTTATCGTGCAATCCCTACACTTAGTTGAAACTAGCCTGTGACCGCACGCATTTCATTTTCCTGACTTCTTGTTCTTTGGTGGTGCCTACTTTATGACGTCTAGGAGAAAGTACTTTACTCCCATTTCAGTAATCATGCCTCCGATCCATTGATAGGCTATTGTTTAAGTGACATGTCATAAATAATTACGGGCTTCACTCAGACGTGTCTTATCCAACATTACTATTCAGATACTTGTGTGTACGATAAATTTGCCTCCACGTGGTGCACCCTAGGCAACGTATACTAATACGGCAAAAAGTCTATAAGCCGGTAATTGACTTCTGCCTTCAAGCTACCATGGTCGTCTGTATGTCATATTCGACCACTACCACCGTACTCATCTTACTTTTTTCACTATCTTTGTGGCTGTCTCCTTTACGTCTGTTAATCACTTTTTTATGACTTTGTCTGTTCCTCCCCTCCGTGAAGCCCGATGTGTACTAAAGGACTAATGATAACCCTCATAAAGCCTGCCATCTGACATAAATAAACTATTCAGGCACCCTTACATATATAAATATGTGACAAATAGTGTTGTTCAAGATGAGTTATTTTAGTTCCTATTACTATGTACTGAGATTAATTTTTTTCATTAATCCACTCCTTTAAACTTCTAATTAAGAATGGATTTAAAAAGAAACTTATACATACAGCCACCAACATTGAGGCATTTTTGACTAATTTCATTCCTCCTCAGCACAAGAATTCGAATGAGATTTGACTTTAAAGATGAGTTTTATTTCCCCTAAAATATAATTCTTGAATTGTGGTAATATCAAGGTTTTCATATCTGCTTAGATAGGCTATTGACATCTAGCTCACTTTAGTTCTCAAAGATTGCGTCGATGAAAAATGTCAATTTCATATAAAAGTAAGTGAAAAGGAACAGGACCACAATGAAGCATAGTTCACATGAAGATGCCATCTCGTCTCTTCAGGCAATAACCTTGAATCTTGATACGATTTTAGTTTGCATCAAAATTAGAAACAACCCATTTTTATTGGAGTAAATTAAAATGTTCTTTTCCCATAACTTGTTGTATTGCAAAATGTCTTACAGCATTAATTTTGCATACGCCCTCTTTCTAGCTGCACGGGAAAAATTGTGGTAAAAAACTGTAGCTATATATGGCCAAGACGTAATATATCAACGACTTCGGGTCGATTGTAGTTGAAATAGGTGTGTTCCCATTAGCCACCCCAGACCCTATGTCTACAAAAGCTGTCAGTGTAGATTTAACCAGTCAGACCATTTAACTTTACCTTACCACCTCAAAACGCTGAAGCTCTATTAATGCACGGGAGCACCAGTGCATAAACCAATCAGCGCTGAGAATGCCCACACAGCATACGCGTGTGTGTCAAACGTAAATAATTGACAAACGGTAATAGTGGTTAAAGTGATCAGTGTTGTGAATGCGCTGAGGTCTATGCTTGCTATATCGCCTTCTGAAACACACCATTCATTCATCACCCGGCTATATAGTACCTCTGTTCATCTTCAAATTAGAAAATTATCATACTCCTCATGTAAGTTCATTTTTCATCTTCGTTAGTCTTGTAAATGATATGAGGTTGCTATTAAAATTCCACAAAATTTCCACATTACTTTTGAGGAGATATTTATATTCCTTATTGGATAGGATTGTTTGGACGTTGGTTGCTAGATTGTGGAAATCTATATTTGGGCATGCAAATTCAACATACTGTCGCGTGAATGCATTTTGAATTCAATTTTCCGGAGATGTACTATTGCGTTAGAACTTTTGTTTGAACTTAGATATGAATCCCTAAGCAACAAAGCCAATTCTAAAGTTGGTCAAATGGAAATTTCTTAAATAAAAAGATTAAGATTCTCTTAATGTTCTGATGCACTTCTGTACATTTAAGCTCCTCAGAAGTTTCTTATTTCATAGTGCTTACATATCTCTAACACTTCGAAGTTGCACTTTTGTTTTGTTTGAATGACAGTAACAGGCCAACAAATTTTTACGTTTCAACCATCACAGTTTTATCTCAGTGTTAGGCATATAAAATACCATTCTTGAGAGATTCATTCAGTCGAACCAAAGTTAAAATTAAACTTGAAGCTCTCTTCTCTTCTATATCTAATTTCAATTTTTTTACTTATTAAAAGATGATAATTTTCAATAATTATAAGATAAGCGATTAACA